AAACTGCCTCTTTCTTTTCTACTCACCCTCTGCTTCCTTCACAAGCAGCCAGCAGCTCCTCCCACAACCTCTGGGAATTTGAAATGCAATGTTTTTCAGCTCAGTTGATTCGCATGGCAGTGGAATGCCACACCTCAGCTATTTTACTTACAGGCACTGCTCTTGAAGGTAAGCTGTAGAGGTTAAAATTGGTGGTTTTCGAACGCTGCACGTGAAAGCACGCGCTCACAGAACCAGTTATTAAACCAGTTGCAGCCCACCACTGCCCCTACTTACCCAGGAATTGTACTCCAAAGTAGCAAGCTTCGGTCAGTAAGGTCCAACGGATTATGATCTTCTCAGATGTGTAGAGGGCATTCCACATGATGAGCGAAATGCCTATTGGAAGTACAGATTGGAAGCAAAAAAAGAGAAGGATCAGATTAGCTGATTTAGGACAGGATAAGGAGAGCTGCAGGATATGTACAGACAAATGCTGCCATTCATGTTACTCATGAACCAAAGCTTTATGAAAGGACAAATTCCAAATGGTGAGCTATTGCAGATTCACAGGTACTGTGATTTAAGCCCTCTGCCCTTTCATTTTGCAAAATTTGGAACTTGCCACAGCCAAAACCCAAGTGTTCAATGTTAACTTGGCACATAATCTACAGTACTATCCTAACAAATTGTTTATCTCTTCGGTTTCTACACTCCCCCTACCCCCTTTTAATATGCTAAGCAAGTAATTTTAGTCCATGGTTTAAAAGGGACATGCTTTATTTGAAAATGGACTTGTAACATAATATTCTAAGCATTTATGATGTATCAAAATATTTTAATTATATGCTAGTTTAGAACTGTTGGCTATCTGCCCAGAGATGGTATTCAGCAGGTTCTGACGAGTTCTGGAGAACCGGTAGCGGAAATTTTGAGTAGTTCGGAGAACCAGCAAATACCACCTCTGACTGGAGATTTTAGAGTATCTTTCCCCTGCCACGGCCACCAAGCCACGCCCACAGAACCGATAATAAAAAAAAATTGAATCCTACCACTGTATCTCTCCATATTTCATTTTGTACATTTTGTTCTTTGTTGACATTTCCTATTTGTATATTTTTTCCCATTTTTATTTGTTTTATCCATTTCCTTTCTTTAGCTATGTGCACAAATAAACCTTGCTTTAACAGTTATTTTGTGCTGTGGTTTTATTTTTTTTAAGTCAGTTCTGAAAATATTTTTTTCTAAGAAGCAAGTTTCAGGATCAATAAAACTAAAAAGTTCATTGTATTTTTATCCTCTATCACACATACACTTTTACAATACCTTTCCCTCTCCAAATCTACCAAAATCTCAACTTCTCCCTCTCACCCTGCCCTGTATCACTGATAGATGTTTCTCTCCTAGTAGCACAGACATCTTTGGACACATTATGAAGATCTAGGTCTCTGGAAAAAGAGCTCCCTCCCTCTCTTTCTCTCTCCCTTTCTCTCATCATTTTATTAGGATTTACAAATACAAAGGTTTTGTTTATTTAGCATATGCATCTACAGAGCAGAGGTCATGCAATCACTAATATACAAATTTAGGTTAAATAAATGATTATCTATGTATACACACACACCCAATCATTTTAGCCATTGTCTTTATACAAAGGGAGAACATCTTTCCATGGCTCTTTGTGACACACACGCATGCACACACATGCACACGCATGCACATGTGCGCGCGCGCGCGCGCACACACACACACAATGCAACACACTATAGAAGATAATACATTAAGATCAAACCACAATAAAATCACCATACTATGGAGCCATAGAATTGTAATGGGCTAAATGTTATAATTCAAAATCTAAGGAAGCTTAGTTAACCATCTTCAATATGATACGAACAAGCCAGGTGCCTTGAAAATTCCTGAGGCAACATTCTTGAACTCTATGTGTTACAGTTTGTCCTGGTGCACCACAGGTGCATTGCAGGGTCTCAGTCATTCCCCCTTTGCCTTAGTTCTGTCATGGCCTATCCTGAGTTTATTCAGGTGGCACCATATTTTTCAGGGCAACTGCATTCCTAGAAGTGGTTTTGTTGGATCCACATGATCTGTTTTGTTATGTTTATTAAAAGTCGTCCATCTTAATCGCCATTCTTCATTTAGATTGTAAGACTGTACTATGTTAAATACAAAGGTAAAAGACTAATATAAAGTAACAAAAATATAAAAAGTAAAATAAAAAATGAAAGATGAAAGAAAGAGAAAATAAAAAAGATATATAAAGGATGACTCCCTTCCTCCAGATAAGTATAAATAATTTCACAACTTAATATCTCCTCTAATATTTCAATTAAAAAAATCTTCTTCCCATGTACTATTTCTTATCAATAATTAATTTATAAAAAGTCATCATTAGATTCTAGTCAGTAAAAATCTATTAATACCAGAAATAATAATATATTATATTTTAACCTTAAACTAATAAATCCATAAATCCATTTTTATTCCAACTTGTTACTTTCTGTAAGAAATAAAGTAAAATAAACCCTTCCTTGTTTTATAAACAGATCTTTAAAGCCTCGTTGTTCATTCCTGGACAAAAGGAAATTCCATTAATAGGTATCACTTATATTAATCCTGATCAAATAAATCCACCTTGAATTCCTGTGTTAACTTTTCTTGATCTTTAATCCTGGGAAAGCTGTTTTTTTTTTTTAAAAAAAAAATCATTTTCTTTTCATCTATTCTTATAAAATTTTCTTGTGTCCACATATTCCAAAGTCATGTTCCAAGTCACTCATCTGATTTATTATTCATATGTCCCCTTTAATTATGAAGGAAACAACTGGTTTTATTTGTAAATCCATTGTGGCATCTTTTTCCCATATGACTCATATTCTGGTATTTTTAAATGCATTTTGAAATCCACATCATTTTTGTCCCTATCACTTTTGTAATCCAGCATTTTCTTTAAACTCCAAATCCATATTGAAGTCAGTCACATTCTCTGTTTGATCCAATAAAATATTTGGTTCTTCTGGATCTGCTGAATAAATTGTTCCCAAATAGTTTTAATTTAATCATTTTAAGAAGTTAATAGTTTTAAGAAGTTTCTTAATATATAGAAACTCAAGAATGAAGAAGCTTTGTAAAATAGTTAAGAGAGGAGATAGGCCAACCTAGTGACCAATTTGAAAGGCCAAATCACTACTTAGGTAAGATGATTCACCCGACTCAACAGCTCCAGGAACTCTCAAACCTGCTGAAGACAACCGTTTCACAATCTGTTCCCAGAGGAATTTCTGTTTGGAACAAACTTGTGGGTGTTCTTTGTCCTCTCTTTAATTCAGAAAAGAGGTATCAGGAAGTAATCCCTTTACTGGTTCTTATTTCTATTGTAGTTGCCTGCTATTGCTATCTACGGAAGTGTCTCTTGAGAAGACTCTGAGGCTGGGAAGGAGGAAGGAAAAAGAAGTCCATCTGGACTTGAAGGATGAGGTTGTGGATAGGCTGGCATGGAGAAAATCGATATCTATTCTTGCTATGAATCAACACTGACTTGATGGTACAAAGGGTACATAATCAGTTAACATAATCTATCACATTTCTCACTAGGTTTGTGTGTCTGACACAGAAAAAAATCTTTATGCCTTGTCTTTGGATTGTCTGTGTGCTTCAACAATCAATGAAAAGATAAATATAAGCAACAAATCCCTACAGAAGCTCTCGAGATGACAGTTCACATATTACTTATTTACTTTCGGCAATTGCAGCCTGTTCATATATTTCAAGAATAAAAAGCTAAAGCAAACCTAATGTTTTCCCATTAAACTGTTTGGGAACAATGTGGTATGTTGTCCCATAAGCTAAGCCAGTCCTTTTTGAAGTGGGAGAAAGGAAACACACAAAATTTGCTAAAAATGAGGATGTCAGTATAGCCAAGTTACACAGTATTTTTACTTGCGGCCAGCAGATGCTGCTGCAGACTTCAAAAAGGAAAAGTTCTCCCTCTGCACAAAGAATTGCCTGTGACACAGGGACCCAAATCTATTTTGACTTCCTGCAGCCATGTAAACATAGTGTAGGACTTCTAATAGCTGTGCCCATACAGTCCCAACTTTATTTATAATTTCTCCCAGAAAGGCAATAGGAATGTGAGCACAAAATAGCACTGGGTTGTGAATGCTGAAAAAAGACTCATAGCCCTGAAGCAGATCATTTTAGACATCACTCCAGCAGCTGTGGTTCAGCTTGGATAAATGCTTTCACATTAAAAAAAAAACAGTTCATACAAGTCATAGCTTATCTTTCTCCCTAACTAGATTAGTTTAATTTTATTCTACTTTATTGCACATGTCTGTAGGGTAGAGTTTGGGTCTCTTTATTTGTTCAATTTATGTGCCATTTTCTCTGGAGTTGCTCACAGTTCTGCACACACTATATATCTCATCTAATTATATTGCCGGAATGACAAGCTCGTAAGAAAGCTTGTGCAGAGATGCAAGGCCTATCCCAAAGATACTATTCGCTGGCCAAGATTTGAGACTTCCTTAACCAGGCCTTTTTAATCATTTCATTTACCCTGATAATTTTGGAGGGATTCCCGCCCCCCAAAGTTTAAATTACTATGTAAATCATCTGTTTTTTTCACACGTAGTTTTAATAGGAGCCATGGTGGCACAGTGGTTAGAATGCAATATTGCATGCTAATTCACTGCTCACAGTCTAGAGTTCGATGCTGACTGGCTCAAGGTTAACTTAGCCTTCCATTCTTCTGACGTGGGTAAAATGAGGACCCAGATTGTTGGAGGCAATATGCTGACTCTGTAAACTGCTTAGAGAGGGCTCTGAAGCATTGTGAGGTAGCATATAAGTCTAAGTGCTATTGCTATTGCTAATACTAACAGAGTGGATGGGTGGAAGAAATCAAGCATGTGAGTGATTCTTAGGTGGGTAGAAGAGATGTTTTTTTAAAGAAGTATATTACAAGTGTGTATGTCTATGTGTACATTTGCACAGGCCTAAGTGTACATGCCTGGATGCATTTTTTTTATCACAGAAGGAAGGAAATAACTGGACTTTAATCAGCGCTCATGGCCATGACAAAAATAAAGTCTTGCCCCACAGAATTTCAAAATGATCTACTTTTACACCATTTTATAAAATTACAGTTTTGAAATGACCATTTAGTGCTACCACAATTGCATGTTTGGGCTCCAGAATTATATAGTCCGGGAACAATTTCATTACCACTGATAGCTCTGGTGTAACTAAAGCATCAGAATAACTTTGGAACTGATTAGGAGGTGATAAAATCATGATGACTAATCTCTATGCTACTGTAACCTGACATTTCATTATTTTAACATCCTATATGCCCAACAAATCCCAATTTTGCATTCCAACAGCTCAAGCTTATAACACTCCTTGTGAATGAGGTCTTAGTCAGTGGTGGGATTCAAATAATTTAACAACAGTTCTCTGCCCTAATGACCGGGTGGGTGGACGTGGCCATGGTGGCATGGCCAGAGGATCCCTGGGACAAAAATGGGCCCGGGGGGTGTGTGTGCTGCACCCCCTGTGCCGTGTTTTGGGCCTCATGGACCTCCCTGCAGCCTCCTGGGAGCAAAAGCAGGTGGCGGGGGATGTACTGCACCCCCACATCCTGCTTTGGACGTAGTAGGACTCCCTCCCTCCTGGGAGCAAAAACATGCCGTGGGGGCGCACTCCCCCGTGCCCCATTTTGGGCCTCCCTGCAGCCTCCTGGAAGCAAAAACAGGGTGCATGGGGATTCCTAGAAGGGGCGGGGTGGGGAGGCGTGGGGCCAGCTAGAGGTGGTATTTGCTGGTTCTCCGAATCAGTCAAATTTTTCACTACCGGTGCCAGCCCGAACCAGCTGAATACTACCTCTGGTCTTAGTTCCATGGCTTTGTCTCAGAATGACAAGAATACACACAGATACACAAACACAAAATCGCTAGCAATTTGAATCCAACAACAGAGAAGTAATACCACTGAAATTAATTGATTCATACATCAAATGTGGCATATAAGTAAATAACGAATCCTGCCTTGGAATCAATTTTTTTTTTCTTTTTCATAATTCAAACAGAATTATTTTCTGTGTGTCTAAAAATGGCATTATGGGATCAAGTAATATTATTTCCAAAGTTTGTATAGAAAGAAAGAAAAAAATATGGTTGATTTCACTTATCAAATGAGCTAGGCTATCATATCTAGGCTATCATATCTATTTGTGCCTTGGCATTACAATGAAATAATTTAAAAATCCTTGGAGCATCTTGAATAATGAAGTTCAGCTGATATATTACAGTCTCAAAACAGCACATTTCCATGTGCTGGAAACTTTGAATCTTGGCAAGCAAATTATAACAGTGCAATTTCAGTATTATTATTTCCGATGACGGTTATGATGGAGATTTATTCTGCCTCTAGGGACTCAAGACAATTAACAACATTACAGATCCTGATTCTTATTTATAATAGCGTCTTTCTTGAGCCTGTTAAAATGACTTCAAAGTTCAACTTGATTGCACAGTATGCGTTCCTTCCTCTGGGCAAAATTCCATGGAAGAAACTTTATGAAGATCAACAGTAAACATTCAATTAATTTACCTTTTGCCAATGGCAAGTGATTACAAAAGCTATAATCCAAAATTAGCCTAGGTTCAATTCAGACAATTTCAATGCAAAGACACTGCACGCATACTTCTCCTTCCATCCCAGGAAATAAACCCCCACTCTTCCAGGCAGTTCTCGACTTATTACCATAATGGATGCTGCTTGTTGCCATTATGTTGACTGACTCAATGTTGCAACCTCTTTGGCAGCAGTTGTTAAGAGAACACCACAGTCATTAAGAGAACCAAGGATTTAACTGGGCATGGGTTTGCCAAAAGATGGAAGTAAAGGTTGCTTTTCAGCAAAAGCATTGTAAAATGCATTGTGGGACTGTGGGACTCTGCTTTGAAACTTCAAAAGGTTGCTAAGCAACCAGTTGCAAGTCAAGGACTACCTGTATAGTATTTACTCGGCTATTCCCAATAGACTAGACCACATCAACATCCGGATGCGCATGTATTACTTACTAAGTAAAGCTCCTCCATAGAGACGGATAGGCATTTTGCTGTTGACTACCTCTTCCTTGAAGACAGCATCATAGATTTGATCTGGAAAGGTGAGAGCCTGGAAGAGAAAAACAAATTTCAGTAAAAAAAAAAACCACCCTCTGTAACTGAAAGATTTAGTGTCCAAAGAAAAGGATAATAGTGTGGTGGCCTAGAAGTGGAGCTCTCGCCTCACAATAAGGGGGCTGTGAGTTCGATCCTAGGTAGAGGCAGATATTTCTCTCTCTGAGCAGAATGAGAATATATCTACCAAACAAAACTTCACATTGGTGACAGGAAGGGCATCTGGCCATTAAAAACTCTGCTAGCTCCATTCAGTAGCCCAGACTCCACCCTGCAAAGGATTATCAGCTTATTAAAAGATGATGATGTAACTTCGAACAATCACTAAATAAGTGGTGGTAAATCAAGGACTACCTGTATCTAAAAAGTGCTCTTGGACTACTGCTTTTAGAAGAAATTAAAGCACATACTACACCAGCCACTTCCTAGACTGATCCCTTTCTCATTTCCATTTTCATCGTATACATTTGTTTCAATTCTCCGAATCCCTCTTAAAAGTGGTGCCCAGGACTAGAATGCTAAAGTATGATTTGACCAAAGCAGAATAGAGTGGCGTGATTGCTTCCTCTGATTTGAAAATTATACGTATACCATATTAAGGATATTGATGCAGCCTTAAATTCTATTTGCCTTCTTTGCAGTCTCACCTCACCACTGGATCATATTCAGTATGGAACAATGAACACTAAAAAAAATTTCACAAAAGATTTATTACCAAAGCTTGGTGTCCCGCTTCCTTTACACATGCATTTGAAGTTTGATTCCTGACTGAAGAACTTGCCTGCAGTAAGTTTCATTCTGGTTATTACAGACCATTTTTCTATCCTACCAATATTGTCTTAAATTTATCTTGCTCTTTTTTTCTTCTTCTAGGGGAGGGGTTCCCGACCTCTGGACTGCGGCTCACTACCAGGCAACAGCCCATTCGGAACCAGGCTGCACAAGTGGTGGCTAAGTGTACGCATATGTGCACAGCTTCACTTGCAAGAGTGGTGAGCAATTGTGCCTGCCACTCGCATATAACTATTCCCTCTCTCCCCACCCCACCCCTGGCCAGGTCACCAAGCCAGAAAAGTTGGGAACCATTGTTCTAGGGCAGGGGTGTCCAACCTTGGTAACGTTAAGCCTGGAGGACTTCAACTCCCAGAATTCCCCAGCCAGCAAAGCTGGCTGGGGAATTCTGGGAGTTGAACTCCTCCAGGTTTAACGTTACCAAGGTTGGACACCCCTGTTCTAGGGTATTAAGTATTCAACTCAAGCTTATGACACCTATAAATCTGATACAACTTGAACTTAATCTTTTTATTAGTTCACATTAGTAATGAAAACTAATGAGTCAAGGACCACTTGCTATCTCTCCAACATGACGAGGAAACATTGATGAGCAATGCTCAAGGGACTGAATCTGAGGACATATTTTTTTAATAGATTTCCTTGAAGTTTTATAAATTGCTGAGAATAGAATGCTAAACATGTCTAGGGACAAATGTTTAAGTAATTTGATCAGATAGCCTTCATATGAAAATGTTTCCCCTACTTACCATGATGGCAACGCCAGAGAATATGATGGCTGAGACAAACTGCCAAACCCTGCAAGTTCAAATGAAAAAAAAAAAGATAACTATCACATCCTTTAAATATGGCATCTCCTCCAGTCAGCAATACATGAAAAATAGTTACTTCTACTTCTGCAAAAAGGGTCATCTGAGCAATTCCTGTTGACAAGAGAACCCAAAATAAAACAGGGTATAGAAGAGAACAAGATATGGCTTTTTATAAGCAATTTCAAAACACCAGGAATCACCAGGCAGTCCAGAAAGAGCATGAAAATGCTAATTGACTATCGTTAATATCATCTAAACATTGCTAATGAGGTTTCTTTGGAAAATAGGATGTTCCAGCTAGCAAGGAAAGTTTAAAAAAAATATTTACAGTGCCATGTTTAAGTTAATGAACTGTCTTCCGCTGGTTACACCATTTCAAGAAGAGTTGACTATAAGGATTTTATCATAAAAATTAACACCTCCTCTAAGGAATTTGTCTCTTAGTTGACTAGCAGAACCCTGCTATGTTTAAATAAACCCCAACAGTCCTCCAGGTCTATTGAACTGTACGTTCTATCATTCTATGAACAATAATAAACAATGCGATAGAGATTTTAATACAACAGTCAATCCTTCATGACCACCCTGTTTAACAACTGTTCAAAGATGCATGCAAACATTTAGGTACTTCTGCTTAAATTATATTTGTTAAATGAAGAGAAGCTGATCTCCATGGTACAAAGTTAAATTTGACATCTTTTTGGTTATTTGAATGCATATTTACTATTTCTGTGCAGCTGTTTATAGATTTGGAACAGTGACTATAGCAGGTTTAGACTTTGAAAAACTTTTCAGCCACTACTTAATAACACCTTCTTTGGCAGAAATAACAGCTTCTAAATGTTTCCTCTTCAGTCAGTTATAACTGTTACCATCCTTGCTTTTGGATATTTTCCCACTCTTCCTTGAAGAATTCTTCTCACTCAATCTTTCTATATTTGTGGAGATTACAAAGGTTATTTTTAGCATATAATTGTTATTGTGGCACACACCTTTTCCAACAATGGACTGTTGCTCTGGGTAAACATCACCCTCCTAAGCCTTGTAAGTTGATGCCACATAAATATGTCTTTCATACTCAGTACTTAAAACAAACACAAATTTGAAAATAACTTTTGCCTCCTTCCAAAATTTCTTGCACCACATGGGATGAGGTGCTGCCTCATTGAGGTTGCTCTATTTCTGATTGCTCCTGAGCTCCAGGCCAAATTCTAGTGAAGAATGGTTGCAGGAACTGGGTATGTCTAGTCTAATGAAAAGGACTAGGGAAGACATGATAGTAATGTTCCAATATCTCAGGGGCTGCCACAAAGAAGAGGGAGTCAAACTATTCTCCAAAGCACCTGAGGGTAGGACAAGAAGCAATAGGTGGAAACTAATCAAGGAGAGAAGCAACTTAGGACTAAGGAGAAATTTCCTGACAGTTAGAATAATTAATCAGTGGAACAACTTGCCTCCAGAAGTTGTGAATGATCCAACACTGGAAGTTTTTTAACAGATGTTGCATAACAATTTGTCTGAAGTGGTAGGGTTTCCTGCCTAAGCAGGGGTTGGACTAGAACAGTGATCCCCAACCTTTTTGACGCCGCGGCCCGGTACCGGCATCAGCTGGGCGCCGCGGCCCGGTACTGGCATCAGCTGGGCACCGCCATCTTTTTTTGATGAAAAAGTGCTTCCGGTGAGCTTTCTACCCGGAAAAGCTCACCGGAAGCACTTTTTCATGAAAAAAAGATGGCGGCGCCCAGCAAGCCGCGGCCCGGTAGGAGTTGTTCCACGGATCGGTACCGGTCCACGGACCGGTGGTTGGGGACCCCTGGACTAGAAGACCTCCAAGATCCTTTCCAACTGTTATTCTATTCTATCTTCAGCAGTGTTGCTTGTGAGCTCTTGGCTGAGGTCCCAAGCCAAGCTCCAGGCAGGAATCCCACCAGGATTTGCTGTTTACCACATAGCTTGTGGTCCTTGGCTTTCGGGAAGAAGCATGAGCTGTGATGAGCCTTGGGGAAGTGGGGGTGGAAAGTATTTATGCCTGGCTGCAGCTGTTTTTTTCAAGAGCAGACAGCACTTCGGGAAATTTTTTGGATCATCATCTTGCTGAAGTATCAGCTTCCGTTTCTTCACTGAGAATTGGACATTAGTTTTTAGGATGTATTGATTGCTAATTGAATCCATTCTTCTTTTTTTCGACCTATATAAGAAACTCCTGCAATGCTGATTGTTCCACACTTCCAAAGCACAATAGATCCAATACACTGTTTAATGCTTGGCAAGAACTTGCTTTTTCTTCAGATATTTCAGCCTTGTGACCAAACAGTTCAAAGGGCAACTATATAACTACACATCTATACAAGAATCAGCTAAACTTTCCAGCCTATTGTTTATAGTGATCTGTGACTTCTGCTTTGCAGTTCTGATCAGTTTTCACACAGTTCTTTTTCTTTGTCTTTCATATTTTCCTTTGGCAGCAAAAATTCATTTACAATATTTTTCATTTCTTAGCAATATGGAAATTGCCAGCTGGAAGCATTTATAGTGGGGTTTTAACCTTCCTGCTTTTTCCCCCTTACTTTTACTATTTTTCAAATCTCAGAGGAGTCCATGATTGTTGGAAGTAAAAAAAGACAACAATCACAGCCTAAGAGGTTAGATGAGTCAAAATATTGTTAAATTGTCTTCACTTGGCTAATTGTAGTGTATCATCTTTTGAAGCCTATTCAAAAATTTACAATAATAATATAAAAAAATATGTGCATGTTTGTGTATGGCCAATCTTCTGCTTCTGCCATATTCACTGCTTCTTATTCTGAATCCATAGGTGACAGCACATAAAGACACTTGGATCTATAGAAAGATAGGTTTAACTTTGTGCCATGGAAGAGGTTGTATCAATTTCTCTTTACTTGGGGATTCAGTAAAACATACAACAAGCTGTGCTTTTATTTTTACACACCACTGTAAAACTTGCTTGAAAGCACTCCAAAACATTCTCAAGTTTCTTATTTGCAAGTTCTTCCTGATGAACTTAGGGAGAGGAGAAATAAACCCTGTTCTCTGTCTGATGCATCATCCTAATTATCTAAGTAGTAGAGTGGCTACAGGTATAATGGTCCCTACATTGTGGAATGAGTCACATTTTTCCTTATTTTGGAAGACTTCACTGAATTGCCTCCCATCAATAAAATTATGGTAAATATGGTTAAAAAAAACTATGGGATATTTTTATCTTTATTATCACCAACTTATATATATAACTGAACTTTTCAATTGGTAGAGTGGATAAAGATATTGGAATTAGAAGTCAAGAGATCATGAATTTTAGTCCTGCCTTTGGCATAAAAGCCAATAGAAACAGAACTTAGACTTGTATACCACTTCACCGTGCTTTACAAACCTCTCTAAGCGGTTTACAGAGTCAGCCTATGGCCCCTAACAATCTGAGTCCTCATTTTACCGACCTCAGAAGGATGGAAGGCTGAGTCAACCTTGATTCTGGTGAGATTTGAACTGCCAAATTGCAGTCAGCCAGCAGTCAGTGGAAGTAGCCAGCAGTACTGCATTCTAATCACTGTGCCACCATAAAAGCCAACTCAGTGACTTTCGACCAGTTATCCCCTCTTAGCTGCAGGAGAAAGACAATGGGAACCTACTTCTGAAATATTACCAGAAAAACCACTGGAACTTGGTCATTTAGCAGATAGATATCAAGACTATAGCACACAAAAGGCACATAGCCATACCAATGCACAACCTTGTCAAACTGGGGACTGACGCACACTTTCTGCAGATATATCTTAGTATTAATAAGTTATCATACATATTTTTCCTAATTATTCTGTCCGTCCAATGTTGAAAATGAGTTATGTAAGAACACTTTGAATATCTGCCAAACTGCAGGCTAGTTATTCAAACAGGAGAGCACCCCCTCCCCAAATGTGAAAGAAAAGAAAACAGTTTGAAAACAGTCTGAATGCAGTCAATGATGTGAAGGAAAACAATCCAGAAAAAAAAATCAATGTAAACTTATGGGAAAAGCAATTGGGCAGTGGCTCAGAAGGCTACTGACTGCTCCATTCTAAGCCCTCTTCCTTCTTGGTCATATGCACAGGGAGGAGTGCATTTAGCCTGCCCTGTGCTTCCTAGTGCATACATACATGAGTAGGCATAACACAAGGACACACAAACACAAAACAAAGATACCACCTTGTTCTGCATGTTTTCATTGTCTTATTAAAGAATCATTTGGCCACTGCTGATTAGCCACTTCTATGAATGTGTGCAAGATTTTCAAACAATTGATATGCTTTGAGTGCTGATTGCTCCATAGATTAATTTCCATTCAGCTTTCAAGAAGACATATGAAGGAAGGGACAAGAAACAATATTACAATCCATTGACATCAGGGGTGGGATGCTACTGGTTCTGCCCAGCTCTATAGAATTGGTAGCTCTGAAGAGCAGCAGACACAGAACCGGTTCTGTGTTTGCTGCTGTTTGGCCCTCCCACCCGCCTGGGCTCTCACCTGTCCTTTATTTCCTGCTTTTTCAACCTCAGCTGCTTTGCGCGGCACAGCTGAGGTTGAAAAAGCAGTAAAAAAAGTGATTTTCCAAACACTGCGCACCCGCGTGCAGCGCTTATCAGCTGTCCAGGTGGCACAGCTTAAGGTGTTTTACACGCATGCATAGCGCGCATCTGGAGCGCCTGCGCATGAAGCGTGCATGCGTGCACAAAACATAATCATCGAACCGGTAGTAACATCGGTTGAATCCCACCCCTGACTGACATTAATATATCTGAAAGACATGCTCAGAAGACTTGTTGAGTATCTCCCTCTTTATGGGGAACAAACTGTTTATTCTTTTTATGGTTCCCAGTGTCATATTCTTTGACAGTACTGATAATTGGCTATCAACATCAGTAGCTTTCACCTACACGGTGATCTCCAGCTATCTCAAAATATCAACTATTTGAATTCAGAGAGATACTACCTTATAGCATTTGGAAGAATATTAGATACAGACCCATCATCCTCTTCTTATGTTCTGAACTAGGGCACCAAAGTTTCAAGAAAAATATTTATCCAGAAACAACATGGCAGATTTTTCTATCCCAAACTCTACAAGCTGAACAAAAAAAAACATTTGTTTATGATTAAAAATCCTCCCCCCTTTCATTTTTTCATGAGAATTCACAGCAGGGAAATTTCTGGAAATTCTTTAATTTTAACATCTACATAATTCTATGAGATAGATTGGACTGAGAGAAAATGAGTGACACCCTCCCCACAAGTCACCAGGTGAATACAGACATAAGCCTGAAATACCCTAGTCTAAGTTCAATGTCTTAACCACTGTACTCTTGAATTCTGTTCCTTTTTAGAGCCATTCAAACTCAAGGTTATCTTCTAGCTTTAAAATATCCCATGGCAGCACTTTAAATCCAATTTCAAGAGCCGCTTAGCTCTTGGTGGATTTCTCTCATCCTTGACAGTAAATTGAAGGGAGAACTCTGATTAACATACAGTAGCCAATCACAAGAATATCCCACGGCCACATTGGGCAACTGTAATTAAGATTTCTAAAGCTTTCGCCTCACCCTGCCTCTGCATACATACGCCCAGATAGTATTATTTTATTGGAAAGCTATGGAACCAGGACATGCCTCTAGAGCAACGGTCTTCAAACTCAGCAAGTTTAAGACGTGTGGACTTCAACTCCCAGAATTCCTGAGCTAACATGACTGGAGGAGGAATTTTGGGAGTTGAAGTCCACAAGTCTTAAAGCCGTCAAGTTTGAAGACCCCTACTCTAGAGGCATGGTTGCACTTGCCACTAATTTCACCACATATGCTTTTTTTTTTGGCTGCAGGATGATTGTGTACACATTTGCAGGAAAAGCAAGCATGCTTGGAGCCAAAATGAGTAAATTACTTAGCATCCCTGTTATGTATTTCTGGCTCATAGGTTCTGAATGGAACTTACCTGAGCCCCAAAGGTTCCCTCATTGCAAACTTGATTTCATTGCCCAAGACTTGACTGATCTGGAATTTAAAGGAACAGAAACTGATTCAGAGACACCCTGTAAAAAGAAACATTTGAGGGGAAAATGCATGCAAATTATATTTCTGGTCCACAAAAAAGAAAAAAAAAGAACAATTAATGATATTTGCTGAGAGTGAAACTGTGACTACTAAAATAGCTCACTGATGCTCTAAACGACCTTAAACCACCTTATACCAGTTTTATTTTATTGCCAACTGCACACTGTTTATGCATTTGTAATAACTTACAGGTGGAAGATTTGATCTATTACTCATTACATTGCAAATTTTCTCAGGAGCACAAAGCTAGATTCCTTGTGCCCTTGTTAATCCAACTGAATCAGTCTAGTTTAGAAGAAAATAAAGTCTACTTTTTGTTGTTTGACGAAAACATACATGCAATGAAACAAATTGAAGATAAGAAGACACATCCTGACAAACAGTGCCATTAATATTAGAGGGGGTGCATTGAATTGACATGGATTGCTGTGATTTTATTTGAATTTTGCTAAAACCTGTGGTGAAAATAAATGTACAAATAAACTGTATACCAGCTGCTACTCTCATACTGTGTGGTCTACAACATTCAAAACTATTCATATTGTCAACTAATTATGAATCCAACACACCAAAGACTGCCAGTTTGGAGAAGGATTGATCTAAACAGATGGCAAATAAGTTGCCTACGCCTGAATCAACAGTCACCTTTTGTATGGAATTAGCAGCATCAGCCTTCCCCTGATGCCAGAAAACACAGGAAGTTGAACTGATGGTTTGGATACTGGGTAAGTAGTGGTGTATTGCGATACTTCTCAGCATTTAAAACTGCCTGTTTATGGGAAAGAACATCAAGAGTCGTGTTGGTGCAGTGGTTAGAATGCAATACTGCAGGCTAATTCTGCTGACTATCGATTGCCAGTAGTTCGGCAGTTCAACCCTCTATAAACCGCTTAGAGAGGGCTGTAAAGCACTGTGAAGCGGTATATGAGTGCTCTTGCTATTACTATTTTATACAGGAAATTACTATATCAAGAAGTTCAGCAAGCGCCAGTGTAGTATTATCCCACCTCTCCCATGTCCCTGATAGCAATTCTCCAGGGATTCAAACATCTTGAGTGGCTTGCTAAAGATGTCTGAAACAGACTCCGGGTTTTTTTGCACAAAGAAAATATGATCTATCACTTGCTTATAATCCCTTTGCAAGCATCTTGGGCAAACAGCATGGTCTAGTTGTGCAAGTTCAAACAAGAAAGTGGGAGAATGGGAAATGAGAACAGAGAAACTCTATCTCAAAGTTGACTGCCTGAAAAAACAAACAGTCCCAGGTGACTAAAGAAAACTGGTGAAGCTGTAAAAGCTTTCAGATCATCCTTTCTTCAAAAGAAAAAGGATGGTTAATATTGGTGGGTTTTTTTAAAGAGACAATTACACAGGCTTTAATTTTTTTTAAAAAAAACCTAACTATAAAAGGCAAAGAAAGATCTGTGACAAAAATTGTGGAATCCATAGAATGTGACTGCAAATTAGCAATGCTCATTATAGGTTACATCTAATGCAGCATTCCCAACATGGTTTAGTACTTACTAGGATGATTGTTCTCACTCCAGGGGAGAGAACTAGAAAATGTTTAATACTTTCCCAATGGGTTGCACTCAATATTTACAGCAGGCAAAAGAATGGATTTTATAGTTTTAAGATAAAAAACAGTGAGTTTAAAAGGAATTTTTTTTCACCCTGTTGCAGGGATTTATTTTTAATTTGTATTTAATTATTATCAAATTTATTTGCTACCCATCTCATGGCAGACAGAAGGAAATATCCTAATTACTGAACAATAAGTACACCAGCAAAAGTATGTCTGGGTAGTCAAGAAACTACAAATCACAGGAAAGAGAGAGGCCCAAGGAAGCAAGAACAAAGGGAATTTAAACAGCCTTCAGCTGCTTCCTGCCATCTCCAGCTTAGCACTATCAGCGAGGGAAGTATAGTTTGCATATGCATTGCATCATTATTTCCTGCTTTTAACAAATGACACAAAAGCAACTGAAAAGTTGGCAAGAGAAAAAAAAATAGAGATAGCCTTCTCTGAGGTCACTGGGTAGGCCAAAGCCCTGCTACTTTATTGGGCTATAGGGTGGCAGGTCAAGAAGCAACAGTGAACCACTGATTGGTTCAACACGGAACCACTGATTGGTTCAAAATTGGGAAAGGAGTTTGGCAAGGCTGTATACTGTCGCCCTGCCTATTTAACTTATATGCAGAGCACAACATGAGAAATGCGGAGCTAGATGAATCAAAAGTTGGAATTCAGATTGCCGGGAGAAATATCAACAACCTCAGATATGCAGATGATACCACTCTAAATGGCAGAAAGTGAAGGGGAACTAAAGAGCCTCTTGATGTGGGTAAAAAAGGAGAGTGCAAAAGTTGGCTTGAAACTCAACATTAAGAAAACCTCTCAATTCCTAGCAAATAGATGGAGGTAGTGGAAATGGAGATTTTATTTTCCTGGGATCCAAAATCACTGCAGATGAGGACTGCAGACAAGAAATGAAAGGACTCTTGCTCCTGGGGAGGAAAGCTATGGCAAATCTAGACAGCATACTAAAAAGCAGAGACATCACCTTGCCAACAAAAGTGTATAACTTCCCAGTTGCAATGTATGGCTGTGAAAGTTGGACCATAAGAAAGGCTGAGCACCGAAGAATTGAGGCCTTTGAACTATGGTGCTGGAGAAGACTCCTGAGAGTCCCTTGGACTGCAAGGAGATCAAACTGGTCAGTCCTAGAAGTGATCAACCCCGATGCTGTTCAGAAGGCCAGATCCTGAAGATGAAACTCAAATACTCTGGCCACCTAATGAGAAGGAAGGACTCACTAGAAAAGAACCAAATGCTGGCAAAGATTGAGGGCAAAAGAAGAAAGAGACAACAGAGAATGAGTTGGCTGGATGGAGTCACTGAAGCAGTCGGCATGAGCTTAAATGGACTCCAGAGGATGGTAGAGGACAGGAAGGCCTGGAGGAACATTGTCTATGGGGTCGCGATGGGTTGGACATGACTTTGCAACTAACAACAACAAGGGTGGCTTTAGAGAAGTATAATTAAACATGGATAGTCCCAAAGGTGCTTATTCAAGAGGCAACTGAACTTTCTGGTTTTTCTTTAAAGACTTTTCATTTCTCATCCAAGAAGCTTCTTTAGCTCTGGATGAGAAGGCTTCAAAGAAAAACAAGAAAGTCCAGTTGCCTCTTGAAAAAGCACCTTTGGGACAATCATGACCTGGATGACTGAGAATCTCCATAAACTTATATAGGTTTCCCTAATACAAAAAAACAACACCCCTCATCTTAAACACCCCTCTTCACAAAAGTGATATTCTTTAGGGTGGCATGGAATTGCAAAGGAAATCACCAAGCCATAGAGATGGGGCTACCAAACTTTGGGATTCTACAATCTATAGCCAGCGCATTACTATATGAAAAATAAAATTGTTTTTCTCATATGATGTTTAAGTCTCCCATGTCAATTAGAGTGTAACCATGGATATTTTTAGGACATGAGTTATTCTTCCCCATAGGTCCTCTTACTATTCCAAGTTCTGGGAACTCTTACTACAAGTCTAATGTCTGTCTGAAAGTTTGCCATACTTTTGGTGAGAGAGAGAGGGGAGGGAGGGAGGGAGGGAGGGAGGGAGGGAGAGAGAGAGAGAGAGAGAGAAAGAGAAAGAGAGAGAGAGAGAGAGAGAGAGAGAGAGAGAGAGAGAGAGAGAGAGAGAGAGAGAGAGAGAGAGAGAGAGATTTGAAACTATCTATGATGGGGAAAATCTGGCAAAAAAAAATCATCCATAAAATAAAATGGAGCATTAAATTATTTCTTTACAGAAATTGTTTTCCCTTCTATATTATGGACTTTTTCCAATGACCTTTTACAATTACCAACATTTTAAGGTAATTCTAGTTTTCAAAAAAGGATTACTGTAATTCCACTTTCAGAACAGAAAAGGCTACATACATGAAAGGCACCTGTTAAAAAATCATCCAACAAGGATCATTCTAAGTTGCTAAGCAACTGCTGGGGTTCAATGACAAAAGGTCAGTCCATTAATTAAAAATACAACCATTTGTAAAAAGCAGAGTTCACACAGAGAAATGGATATTGCAATCACATGGAGCCAAGAACTTTCCCCTTACTTTAACACCACCATTTATTCACTCTATGAGAGAGATAGGCGGTTTCTAAAATTTGATATATAAATGAATAAATAAAAACACAAGGACAATAAACTGCTCTTCTGGAAAGGGTGATAAAAATCTAGAGGAGCAAAAGGGAATGACACACAAAGGAAGCTAGATTAAAACAGGCCGGGAAAATCCCAGACACAAAGTTAGTATAGCTATCTAAATTCATCATGTGGCATTGCCCCAATCAGAAAAGACTGGATCCGTTGCATATCCTTGGCACATTCTAGTCTTCGATTTGCCAGAATAAAGAAGTAAAACATTATTCTTTCCTCTGACAACTTGGCTTTTGAATTTGGCCATCAAAGTCAAACTTTGCAACTTTGCAACACGGGCTGTTGAATTCATCCTCTTGGGTCCTATTAAAATACATTCAGTTCGACAATGAATCAGCACCAGTGGAGTCTCAGCCATTAATGTTTCCTTGAATTTTTCTTCCGTTTCCTTTTCAGTTTTTGTCCAAAAGCCCTTCAGTCAGGGTAAAGCATTTCATTTTTGTTTTTAATTTTTGTTTTTGAATAAGAAGCAGCTCCCAAAAATTATACTTAGAAATAGGCATATAATAAGGAGGAAAGGGAAGGGGGAGAGTGGACAGAGAAGTATATAAATTCTTTCTTTCTGCCTATTGTCTATTCCAAGAGGAGCACTCAGAAGGCATTCATATCTCAGTTGAAGTGCTATCCACCAGTCTTAATGCTGGCGGCATATTATCAGCACAAAATGTGCAACTCACTTCCACTGACATTTCTATCCTGCACAGGAAAGCTACCAATAAATGGTAGTGCACTCTGAATCCCTTTTACCTTTTCTACAATCCATGGTCAACTGCTACTTCTGATTCCAGGCTCGTTGATAAGTGTGTGTGAAAGAACAGTTGAAAACATCTGGATAAGAAGGCATATCCCAAACTAGTACATCAGCATAAAATGGCCAACAGGTACTAGGTTGAATTCACATTTTATAGAGATACTTGACTAAATGGTCAGTGAGATTGTCAGTGAGATTAGGAGGAAAAACTACTTTAATTGTGGAATCATTAAGAAGGACATTAAGCTATCTCAGGTGTGAGTTGTGGATGAATTGAAGGCAACAACATGAAGATGTGGCAGAAAAAAGACTTCGCTGGGGCAAGTTCAAAAGTCACAAATTTGTCTATTTGTAAATAAATAAAATTAATTATTAATAAATAATAAATAAAATTAATAAAAACCTAAATGTTTCATCAAAATTTGCACTAACGGATGTGTAGTAGATACTTATTCAAAAACTACCATGTGATAACTGTCCATGGCAGCTGGGTTGCAACCTAGATAGCCTTTGCTAATTTAAGAAAATCTAAACTATACAATGTGCAATGTGCTTAACACTTGGATGGGAAATTGTCGGGCACTGAATTTTAGACTAGTCTAGAAGTTGATGAAACATTCTGGAAAACAGCAACAGATTAGCTGTACATTTTTGGCCATTCCCTTTAAGGCTATTGATGCTCTTGTAATGCATCATTGATCTAAAGCAAAATAACATTGTGAGGAAAAGGCATAAAGAGACAAGAGAAGAGATATGATAGCTATCCTGAAAAAAGAAGAACTTTTGTGAGTTACCTAGAAATCAAAGCTCTCTCTTCTTTCAGTTTAGAGAACCATAGGTTTTCTCTTACACCTACAAAGACATGTCTCTAATGAGGTGAGAACAGCAGCTTCAACCATCCACCCCCATTATCCAACCGCATAGGCCTCACAATTCCCACCCACTGCTGTGAATCTATCCTCAAGCTTTTGCAATTAATTCACATACACAACAGTTCTGTATGTATGTGTTAGTAGAAAGGGGAGGTTATGCAATTGATTAGAAAAACATTGGCTCCAATATAAGTTATGAAATTAAGGGGAAACCAAAGCAATAAGTACAAACTATGAATTTCCACTTTCTCCTGTCTCATCTGCCTTGCCTCTCAAGTGCAGTTTCATTCCTTCCACCAAGCCTTCAATCTAGCATTTCCTCTCTGCCAATTATGGCTTCTCCTTTTCCATCCCATCATTCAAGCCCTTTCTTTCCAAGTATCAACAAAAAGATTAATTTTTTTAGTCATTTGTTGAAATGCTACTTCGGACAAAGGAGAAATTATGGTTTCCATGAACTCAAGTACACAACCTCTCAATATTAACTTCTATTAAACATTTTGAGAAGTTTGTCCTACAAGCCTGATCACTATTCATAAATTGATCCTACTCCAAGACACCTTTGTGCAACTTGCACAGATTATTCCCAACCCGCTTCCTTCTTCTTATATATACCCTGCAATCACCCTTCCTTTCTGATAAAAAAAAATTTGATTAGTTAAGTTAATAGTCCCCCAATCTACAATTCTGGATTTTTAAAAAAAAGGATATATATTTTTTCTTGTAGATATGACCAAACAAGATGCCTCAAGAAACAAAGATACAAGGGCTTGATGAAGACAGAATCTTTCTTTTCCTCACCAAGTGTCACAATCTTTCAAAAGTTAACATGTCAGGGAATAAAGTAGGTTCTTATTAGGTTTGAATCATTCTACATATACACAGCCTTTGACATGAGGATTGGGAAACATCTGTATTGTTTGCATACAGAACACAACATTCGTTACTCTAGCTGAAATTGACAGAAATTGGAGTCTAACGATACCCAGGGGTCATTGGTTTACATTTCATCAACTCCTCTCATCTTTTTTTAGAATCTTAGAGGAAATAAGAACCTTAAAGTAATATAATTAGTCCCCAAACACACTTACCCCCTCTCTCAGATAAAGCAGATTTATCCTCTATTGAAAGACAATTCGGATTTTGGATGTTTTTATAAACACAGCGTATTCATATAAGGTTGGTAATTTATAGCTTCTTCTGTTCAGCTGAGTTTCCCTCATTGAACCAGAAATATGACTTTAGAGCTAGATGGTATTCTAAAAAAAAATTTAGTCAAGAAATGGTCAGGCTGTAATCCTCCAAAGGTTGCTGGACTGCAACTCTCACCATCCTTCACAAAGGGCTATGCACTTAGGATTCACGGGTTTGGGGATTTTAAGAATTTCTGTAGGATAACATGTTCTCCATTCCTGCCTAACCTCATTTCTTGCAGTTTTTGAAATATGTGTTCGAAGTATATAAGTATATAATTTTTTTCAGCAAGAAGAATTATTGATTCTAAGGGTCCACAATTATAGATACTCTTGGCAGCCCATTACCTTTGACCTATGAACTTCGCCATCATCATCCTCCCCACCAACACCTAAGATCTTCCTTGTCTTCAGACGGCTCACAAGGTCTGTCTGGCTGTGCTTCTTCATCAGAGGGGGAGGCTGCTTGGTTGCCATGGTGACTTTCGGGTACTTGCTGGTTTGGGCAGAAACTGAAATGAGACAGACTAGAGGTTAGATATATTAGGAAAAAACAACCCATAAATCTTAGGGAGGTTCAAATCCAGATATATTTTTAAAAAGATTTTAATGAACATCCTTTTCATTTAATGTAAATGATTTAGCCAAACACAGCATGGCAACTATTTTATTATTTTATTACAAACTTCTAATTACCCCCAATAATTGCAGCAATAAAGTAGTTTTTGACTGTGGAATATTTACTTCTACTTGAATGATGAGAGAATACTAAGATCTCCCTCATGGTGCATCTACAATCAGGAAAACTTTAGACAGGAACAGGCAGGCATGGCAGTAAATTTTGCTTCTCAAGTCATATCTCAAAGGACTCTTAAACAGTTATAAGATCAGCCTTTTCATGCTTCTTAGTCTGAGAAGCAAAAGCAACAAAACACTGAGGCATAGGATTCAGCTCACAGAAAAAGGAGGGTGTTGGTGGTGAGGAATCACAGAGCTTTGCCTCAGTGAGATGCCTTGCCTGACAAAGGTATTCCACACCACCCTGGCACTGCAAAATATTGGTCCCTCACTCTACTCTGCCTCAGTGAAAAACCAAGATGGGACTCATCAGCATCAACTAGTCTGTCTACCTCAAAAACAGTAGCTGAACACAAGAAGCTTTGGCTGGGCAAAGCCAAGAGTCACTTTTCTTGAACCACTGTCAAAGTAAAACATTTCTTTCTGCATAACCCTTGCACTTTATAAGCACTAATACACATGGTTCCACTGTGCATGTGGCCCTCCCGAGCTCTGTTTTCGCTGGCAGAAGGTTGCAGGAGGCTATCACAGCCAAAAATGGAGCTCAGGAGCCCGTTTTCTCTGGCAGAGCACTCAGGCAACCACAGGTGCCCCTGACATGAGTGATGTTGAGCTGGTCATGCACCCCCAGCCACGCCCCCCTTGAGGTGAAACCCCCCTGTCAGGGCCACATCCGCCCCCCCCCCCCGGATGTGGTCCTCAATGAAATTGAATTTGACACCCCTGTCCTAGCGGTTAGAGTAGGAACCAGGAACCAGCATTTACAACCAGTGGGCCTGGACCACAGGTGGTCTATGAGAAAATTTTGGTGGTCTTCAGAGAAATGTCACCCCCAAAGCACCCCCCAAAGCAATTAATCCAGGCTGCGCAGGAACATAAGGCTCCGCCACCCACATGGCCCACAGGAACACAAGGCTTGCATCGCATGCATTGAGAACAACACGAGGTAGTGAGGGGAGGGGGGAAAGGGCAGAGGGGGGAACTTGCCCCACACGCCCCACGTACTTGGCTTGGCCACTGGGCTGCTTCTTCTGCTTCTTTCATTTTCTGCTTTGAGCTGCACACAAGGAAAGCAGCAAAAGTCTTTCTTTCTCTCCCCCAAATTCTACCAGAAATGAGTCTTTGGGACCCTGCAAGGCATCCTGCTCCAAAAGGCTGAGCCGGCAAAGACTCATTTCTGGTGGAGTTTGGGGGAGAGAAAGAAAGACTTCTGCTGCTTCTGCTGCTTTCCTTGCATGAAGCCAAAAGTCTCTCTCTCTCTCTCTCTCTCTCTCTCTCTCTCCACCCCCACCCCCCAAGAACAGAGCTGGAGACGGTATCCTGCTATCCCAAATAAAGAACGATCGGTCGGTAGGAAAACAGGGTGGGGAATTTTCCTGCAGACTTTTTTTAATATTTTCCCAGAGTCTCTGGTCTGCGGGATTTAAAATTATGAGTTTGGTGGTCCCTGAGGTCCAAAAGGTTGACGACCCCTGTACTAGACACATGGTACCACAAGTGATCGGTCCCTAACCACCATTGTAAGGCAGCTGCTGCAAGAATAGAAACCTTGCATCAAGCAGTTTTTTTTTCCTTGATGATAAGCCATTTCCACTTTGGAATCATCTAGGTAAGTTGTGGTCATCTCTGGCCATGCTGGCTGAGAATTCTGTGGGCTATATTCCTAACACACCTGGAGGGAGAGTTGTTGCAGATTAATATTTTTGGCATCTGCAGATTTCTCGGGTTCTGAAACAAGACAGGGCAGTTATTGAAACCCACTGAAGACAGCTGCTTTGTGTGCTTCATCTTATTAATTATAGTGGGTGTGGGAAGCTTTGTTATCAGCCAAGAGCCTGTCTTCCCAGCTCATAGAAAGTGGGGGAGGTTTATGATTCCAAAGGACTTATAGGGGGTTTGTTGTTTCCAGTTCTATTTTAAAGAGAAGAAAGTATAACATTTAGTTATGCCAGGGTGCCCCCGTGGCCAAGATGCAGAGAGAGATAACATAAATTAAAATCAGGCGATTATGATGGTAACATTATTCTATTTGCGAGAGACTGTGATACCACGAGAAAAAACAAAAGGGGGGGGGCACAGAAACAGTGCTGTACTCAGCTACATAGTCCAGAACCTAGAATGAAGAAATCACATGATTTCTTGTGATCATTTTTTACAGAAATATCTCTGTTCTTTTAGAATTATTTTTTAAGCAATTATGCTTAGGAAATTGGCTTCATTTTAGTTTCCATAGATTAATTATAATTCATATTAGAAAAATGCTTTCTTCCATTAGCCACATAGATCCAGCAATGGAGAACACTCAACACTTTCTTCCTTTCCTTTCCTTTCCTTTCCTTTCCTTTCCTTTCCTTGCCTTGCCTTGCCTTGCCTTGCCTTGCCTTGCCTTGCCTTGCCTTGCCTTTCCCTTTCTTTCTTTCTTTCTTTCTTTCTTTCTTTCTTTCTTTCTTTCTTTCTTTCTTTCTTTCTTTCTTTCTTCTTTCTTTTTTTCTTTCTTTCTTTCCCTTTCTCTCTCTCTCTCTCTCTCTCTCTCTCTCACACACACACACACACACACGTGGATGTTTCTTGTGAGAGATCCAGTTAGCAGCAGGATTCATTTCTCTAAAGCACCTTCCCAATTTGGCTCCCACCAGATGTGTGACTTTCATCTGCCAAAATTCTCAACAATAGCCTTATTGGCTGAGGAATGACAGGAGATGAAGTTCACATGTTTGAATAGCACCTCAAATGAGAAAGTTTTTTAAAACTACACCACAGCATCAAACAGAATGAAATACAGTATATATACATATTTTCCAATCTACATGCAACATGGACTTCCCAAGGTAGACGAGATTTACATACGGTAAGTTGAAATGCATACATCTTGAGAGCACCCCATTTGGTAAAGCTACTAAAAAAAAAACTGAAATCCCATTAAAATACTATAGTTCAATAATTTATTCCCCTCCTAATTTTCTTTTAATTCCCTAACACTTTCCCCCCCCCTGCTGAGGACAAACCTGACTTCTTTAGGCATTTTAAAATTAAATGCAGTACAATAACTTCGACTACAAGGACTTTTAAAGCAATTAGAAAACAAAGGAAAATAGAACATAAAATCTACCCAATACATTTTTGTCTGCTTAAGTAATAGATATAATCTTAAAAACATATATTTCAAAGCAATTAACAGAAGTGCTGAAACAGTATGAGGAATGTTAATCATTTCACTGAAGTTAATTAAAAAGAGAGAAAGAGATCATTTATGTGCACTGAATTAGGCAATCTGAATAAAATATCAAAACAAAGAAAAATTGCCATATTGATGAGAAACCCTTCAGATTTTTGGGAACTTCAAGTCTCCAAATCCCTAACCAGTTTGCTAAGTGAGTGAGTGAGTGAGTAAGGTTCTTTTGCAGCTTTTCTTTAAGCCAAAGCAATAGTAAACACTGCACCCTGCTCACGATTTTGCATGTATGTGTGAGAGAGCTCTGTCAGATACTGTTTGTTTATCTATGACTGTTCTTCTCCCATCACACATGATATTCAAGTCCATTTTTACTAAAGCCTTACATTTTTTTCAGTGGGTATGTCCAGAAAACAAGGAAATTATCCCTTAGAGCCGCTGAGCTGCTGAAAGATTTTGGCAGCACCCTTTTGCTTACAGTGATTTGCAAAGGATTGAAAAAGATCCCACCAGGGGATCCCATGGGGAAATCGCTTCTCCAATTCAGGACCAGCTGTAATGTGAAAAGGACGGGCTACAGCTGTTTTGGAAATGTTACTTTGGTTGATGCAGCTTACAACTGCATTTCTTCTGAAGAATGATGATAAACCTATGTGCATTTGATGTTTGATGAACGACATTGCAATTTTTTTCCTGATTCTTCTACTTTTCAGCTCATTTCCCCATCTCTCCACTTCTTTATCCAAGTTATTAATGAAAATACGGAATGGTAAAGAATCCAGGACTAATCCTTCTGACCAGAGGTGGTATTCAGCAGGTTCTGACCAGTTCTGGAGAACAGGTAGCGGAAATTTTGAATAGTTCGGAGAACCGGCAAATACCACCTCTGACTGGAGATTGTACAGTATCCTTCCCCTGCCACATCCACCAAGCCACGCCCACAGAACCGGTAGTAAAAAAAAATTGAATCCCACCACTGCTTCTGACCCTCTATTTGATACCTTTGTTCAATATGATGAGCCTCCATTGGTGACAACTTTTTGAATATGATTGTCAAGCCAGTTAGATAACTACCTAATTGTCAGGAATCCTAGCAAGATGGGGGTTTGTTGAGATAGTTATTTCTCTCCTTCAGCAAATTGTGAAAACAACACTTTTGACTGTAGAGAAGAAAACTGATAATTAAAAAAAAAACCAAGTCTGGCTTTTTTTTTGGGGGGGGGGGTCAATTTTTTAAATTTTGGACAGATAAAATGCCTTGTTAATACAAGGCGTAGTTTTTCTTCTTTTCTCTCACCTCCTCCCATGGAACAGATGGCTTCTCCTGGACAACAACTCTGCATCCAACCCCACCCCATCCAATCCAACATCACTCAAAACTAGGCACGCACACCCCCAACTACCTCAGTTCCAACCACAACTGGCCTTAAATGCAAACAACCTTGTAAATAAAATACCTGAATTTATCCTCTTACTAAATATGGCTAAATTCGACATTATATTTGTCTGTGAAACATGGCTCAATGCATCTCTCCCTGATTC